GGCATTGTTTTTGGTAGAATAGTGTTACAACACTCGTACAGACAACTAGCCTAGGTGTTAATTTATGCATAAACTTGAAGTAGTGAAATTTGAGCTGCTGCCCTGCAAAATTGACAACTGGTAGACAGTTTTCAAGACGGCACTTTCTTCATAGTAAACAGATGTACCCATAAACCAATTTTGACAGGAAACATCACTAATTAAATCACTTTTGACCAAAAAAGCACATTTTTGTGCATATTTCAAATTACAGTGTCCATAAAAAAAAAAATACTAACAAAATTATAAAATTCATACAATAAGGTTTCCGGAAATATATAATTTTTTGGACAAGGGAGGTCATCTTGGTTTTCTAATTAACTAATTAAAATACCTGTCAGGTAAACAGCATCTCTACATTAAATATACATTTGTTTATGTTATATATTATACCCCCATTCTGTGGATAAGTGTTGGTTCTATGTTTCTTTTTTTCAGGCACCTTTTACAGAAGAGTTTGTGTTCAGAGCTTGTATGTTGCCACTGCTTGTACCGTGTTTGGGATTCACCAAAGTTATATTTGTATGTCCTTTATTTTTTGGAGTAGGTATGTACATGTAGCTACTACTGCCGGCTATAATAATTGATTTGCAAATGTGATAACATCTTAGAATACACAATACAGCTTTGATTATGAGCCAGGGGATATTTAAGTAAGCTGTTGAAAAAAAAGGATCACCATATGTAGGGACATAATTGAGGTAGAAGACTACTCATAGAAAAGTTTAGGAACAATTGAGGTAGAAAACTAGTCGTAAATGAATGTAGGAACACTTAACAAAGAAAATAAGCCTGTGCTAAAAAATAAAAAGATCTTGCATGTTGTACCCAATAGTTTGCTAAACTAGATTTCTTCTTGAAAACTACCAGTTTGATTTATCATTCCTCATCCATGATTCTAGGTATATTTAATTACACCCTCTTTGAATTTCCATTATAATCACTTTGAATTGCATATAGGACTTGGATTTCTAGCATAATTATATTTTTGTACCCATCAGCTCATCACATTTTTCGTTTTATTTACATTCCAACTTATATTTTCTGCCGTATAGTCATTTTGTGGGAAACAAGAATTAATGGTTTGCTTTCAGAGAGATTTTCCCTAAAGTACCAGCCTTCATTTTGAAAATATGAAATGCAAACCTGTGAGGTCTGATGACAGTTTTCTCTGATTTCAGCTCATGTTCACCATGTTATAGAGCGTCTACGTTTTCACCAAGAGAGTGCCAAAGAAGTATGGATACAGACAGGTCAGTACCGGTATTATATGTTATAAAACAGAAGACATTAAGTTGACAAGTTTAAAAATCAGAGAAACTTTAAAAAAAAAAAGAACCATTACATGAAAACCAAGATAAAATAATTTAAATATAAACATTAAAGTTCATACTGGATGTTTAAGAATTACAAGTAAAAACTCTGTCTGGAATGCTTGATTATATTTTCTGTTGAATTCTTGCAGTTAGTATACATTACTTCACCACACTCATACATATATATTGAATATACCTATACCACTCTAGAATATACCTATACCACTCTAGAATATACCTATACCACTCTAGAATATACCTATACCACTCTACAATACATGTATACCTATACCACTCTAGAATATACCTATTTCAAACTACAAT